AATAGCTGAGTTAATTTGTATTGTAACAAGTGCTCTTTCAATAAACTCTGAAATACTCTTGTAAGTGTTTGTTATCTCTGTGAGACTGAAATATTCAGTAGCACAAAACTTTAGCATGTAGTCTTTCTGATTTTTTTTTTTTTCTTGAATTCACTAAAGTGGGTGGTGTCAGTTGAAAATTTCTTCCTCCTTCAGTTGTTCCCTAAACTGGCCCATATAAAATTACATGTACCTTAATTTATTCTTGGACAGGGACCCCATTTGCATCTACTACCACTCATTATAAAACTTCATTTACAATGCAGGAAGGATATGAGCTGTAATCTTTCTTATTACAGTCGCACTGTTGATGCCATTGATTTAAATTCTGAAGAAGCATAAGCAGGGTATTCACAGTTCCCTTTAGACTAAGGAATAGGGAAGCCTGTCTTGCTACTCTGAAAGAATAAGGCTCACAAATTCAGGAGAGTCATGTCTGTACTATGATATGTTCTTAGACCAGCAAACCCCACTGAGGTATGTTTTCAAAAAAAACCAAAGCCATTGCACATTTGAAAATAAAAAGTTAAGGATTTTTCTAGTCTGTACTGGTTTTTATTATACTGCACGGTTTTTTAGTTAAGTTACCACTCAGATAAAGTATCACTTTGCTTGAATATCTTTCCATTGTTTAAAAAAGTCTGTGACCAATAGTGAAACTCAGCTGTCCCATCACACTCTGAAATCAAGGTGACTATTCATCCTTCTATATTCACTGTTGAAAGTCAAGCTGCCTGATGGCTTTAATGCTAGGGTGCTGCCAGTTGCCAGGAAACAGTTATATCTTGTAAGACTATTTCTTAGACTAGGCCAGGTACATTTCATTAGTTAATTTTAAAAAAAAGTTTATTTTTGTAGGATGGGGGAGGGGAGTTACATAACGTGAACATGTTCAGATATCTAGGTATTTTTAAAATATTTTTGTTTTTAGTCTACATTAAAAAAAGAGGGACAATACAGAAAAGGGGAGACAAGATATTACTCTGCCCTTATCATATCCAAATATTTTTATACTAGGATATTGACTGAATATGTTGTGATGTAACACTTCAGATGGTCCAGCCCTTCTTTCCAGCAACCTTTTAGCTTCTCTAAAAGAGCCAGCTCAAAGATTCTGCTTTTAAGGGATACTTAAGGAGTTGATGGGAAATGCATCGCTATTGTAAGCACTGCCTAAAATGCATCTTCCTTGGATTCTGCTTATCACAACCCCTCTGCCTTGTAAATAGAAATGCAGGAGACCACCAAAATTTCATCTTCACATTGTTTGGCACCAAAAGCTCCAGACCAAGTCTAGAAACATGACTCCTACCCTTCACAATGGACTATTGGACAGATTTGTTTGTTCTCCCATTAGTTACCTCACTGCTCCTATGTGAGTTTTAGGTGACAGTGGTGGTGCTGTCATGGGGAGTGGAAGGGAAGGACTTGATCTGTAGAAGACAGATGCCATATGTTGAAATGCTATTCAATGAGTTCTAGGTGCTCTGAGTTGCTATCAAAGTTACTCCCGGCCCTTACTTCAAAGGGATAATTAGTAAACAGACTCCCCAACAATACAGAAGTCTCTTCATCCCTCACTGAAATGCAGACCCTACTGGAAAGAATGTGGCAATTTTATTCTACTGAAATTTCAAATAAAAACGAGTTTAAATATGGTCCAGATACAAAGACCAAATGGTTTTAGCCCTAAAGCTGTGGGAGCTATTGCCATCACTTTGTGGGAACAGTGCCACCTGCTGGAATTCTAAAGTACACTTTTTCCTGCTTCTGCCTGCTCCATTCTTCCATCAGCATACTGACCTCGTATGACCCTTCTCTGAGAGATGTGATTGCTTGATCTCAACATATTGTGGCTGCACGAGATGTTTAGCTTAACTAGGGTCTTGTGTATACAGGGCACTCAAAGTTCATTCAGGTTAGTTAATTTGGATTAAGTTTCCTGGGTGTGTCAGTATAAATAAGCCTGAAGAATTTTGTATCTTTCAGTTGGCTTAAAACAATGTAACATTGAGGTGTGTGTATTTTGCCTGATTGAAATGGGGAACAGTGCAGCGCTGTCACTTTCATAACAAGAAGAGTTTAGAATGTTGCATTGAAAGAAATGCACTAAGGGAAAGAATGAATTCTAGGATTTTGGATTATGGACTAAAGAAGTTTGCAGAAAACAACAACAAATGGTCTGGTAGCACTTTATAGACTAAAGTGTTAATCTATAAAGTGCTACCAGACCATTTGTTGTTGTTTTCTGTAACAGACTAACTCGGCTTCCACCTGAAGCTCCTGAAGTTTGAAATGCAATCTAAATGTCTGCAGAAATTCTTCCAGAAAGTATTGGTGTGCATTTGCTCTTTATCCCTACATAAAAACCCTGTGGATTAAATTCATGTCCCATTGATATACTAGAAAATATAATTTAAAAACAAATGAGTTCTGAGATCTGGGGCAGAGCTGAGTTGAGAACTGGAGGTTTTAAAAAGGCCTTGAAATAGACAATGGTTGAAGTACACAGCTCATAGCAGTAAAAAGGGGTCACCATGCCTTGATGGGAGGGCGGGTGGTTATCTTCAGCTTTCAGGAGATCCAGAAATGATCCTTTGTATGCTCCAGTCATGCATACAATTTTGAAGTCAGTTTTACTTCATGTACAACTAGAGTCTCTTAAACCACTGCATTTTAATTCTCTCATATTGATGTATCTAATGTTATTGGGGGTTAGCTTCCAAAAAAGCTTTTTTTGAGGAGGCTGGGAGTGGCCAAAGTGCTGCTAGAGGGAGGATGAAGGCAGAAAAATTCAGGGTTTGTCATGTGTGGATGCTGTTATTCTGGAATAAGAGCTCCATGTTTCTGTTTAGCTTAATTTATTTTCAAGATGACCAAAGACTCTTATTTTGCAAGAGTGTTCACATGTGGAGTCATTCAGGAATAATTTTCCCTATTGTAGATAGACTGTGAACTGCTGTTCACCTAAGTTGAGTGCTCCCTATCTGATCATATTCCTGCCTTGTTTGGCTCTGTATACTTAATGCTCCCAGATCTGATCTTTGTTCATGCAATTCCATTATAATTAAAAAATAACTAGGATGACTTTGACCTCTGATTAGGAACCAATAAATTCATAATTTGTGAAAGTTTCTTCTGATGAAACACTCATCTGGATTCTACTCATCTGTTTTTCTCCTACCTCCACAATAAGATGGAACTTCTGTGTATGTTAGGGTGTGTGTGTATATTTATACTGTATATAATGTGGTGTTAAAGTGGGGTATGTAATCCCTTAATCATCCTCATTTTTGAGTAGTGTGAGGTTGAATGATAGTTCCAGTCCTGAAAACATGTTAATAGTGTTGCTACTTTTAGGTAAGAGACCTCTTTAATTTTGCCTTCCTGTTATGAGGTCATAAAATGAATTTACCCTTGACTGTGAAAAGTTTTTACTTGTTTTCTCCACCACAAATCGCTTGTTGGTTTCAAAGCAGAACTATTTATTTAAACCAGGCTTGAACACTGTAGCTGACTTTACCAAGCTCCTATAAATTACCTAATTTCTTACCGCTTTCCTCTTCTTTTACAAAACATCCACCAATTTAGAAACAAAAGTACCAATTACGGTACCATTTTAAATGCTCTTCTTCAAAGCTGCTCTTCTTCCTTAAAACAAACAAACAAAACACAACACACCCCAAAGCTATTTTTCAGTAAGGGTACATAGTTACAATGGGAGAGGTGCACACAGTTGTGTCAAACCCTCATATATCATATGACAGTCTAATAGAGTAAGGCTGAACTGTGTATGTTCAAGGAAAATTAATGCGTACACAAGTAGATAAAAAGAGAACTGTCCACTTGTGGAATACACAATGACACAGGCTCCTGGCAGTGTTATCTCCTTGGCATTCTCTAAAGTACCCACCTGACTCAGTCATGGCTTCTGGATATTAATCCATATATTTTTTTTTATTTCAACACAATTCTTTTCATGACCACTACTGGCAGAATATTTAGTGGAGATATAAATTGCAAGTGTAGGAACATAAGACATTTGGCAAACTGCTAGTTAAGTAGCTCCATGTACATGACTCCTTGGCTACTGACAGAATATATCTCCTCACTGGTAAAACCAATCAAACCATGAAATAAGGAGGGGATGGAGCAAATTAAAACATGGGAATTCCCCACAAGAGTGAGTACTATGCAATCTGAACACAATCTTGTCTCTTCTTTCCACTCTGTCCAACAGCCTGATGGTATATAAGCAGGGAGTTCTCCATTGCCCATGCATACTTCATCCAAAATATGAACTTTCATCAGAATTTGCTTTCAAAGCTAAGTAAATTATAACTAAAACTTAGAATGTCAAAAGGACATCTGTAATTTGTGTTCTTTCCCACCGAAAAAATTCCTCCACAGTCTGACCATTGTGTGTATGGGGGTCTTATACTAAGTAAAACACATGGCAGACAATACCAGTATGTCTTAGAATATGTCTACACTTACCACGGATCAATGCTGCAGCAATTGATCCACTGGGGTTCATTTACCGGGCCTGCTATAGACCTGCTAAATTGATTGCAGATTGCTCTCCTGTTGACTTCAGTGCTCCACCGGATTGAGAAGCATAAGGTACGTCGACCTAAGCCACATCAACTCCAGCTACATTATTTACATAGCTCGAGTTGTGTAACTTGGCTTGACTTGGCCCTCTGGTGTAGACCAGGCCTTACAGACACCCTGTCTTCTTCTTTCCACTTCTCTAGACAGAAAAGTTCCCAAGATGCCTAATATGATATTGAATTCTATTTTGGAAAAGTCTGAGCTTTTTGAAAGTTAATTGGAAGTGTCTGCATATCTCCTCTCCACTTGTGCCTGTCTCTCCTTCTAAAGTGTGTTTCTCTCTCTGGCTGTCTCCTCTTGACTTTCGTCTGTCTTTTTCCTACACGGTATTTCCTGTTTTCCCACAGGACTATGAGAGTAAACTGCAGGCCTTGCAGAAGCAGGTTGAGACGCGTTCCCTAGCTGCTGAGATGACAGAAGAGGAAGAGGAGGAGGAGGAGGAAGGTGAGTTTGAGACTGGAAACCATTTGGGGTGTCCCCAAACTTTTGGTGCAAAGGAAAGATGTAATAGACACATTTGCCATAAGATGCAAAACCAACTTTGGAGCTTGTGAAAGTAGTGGTGCCCTCTAAAAGAGCAAATTTGACAGCCAGATAAACTGAAATTCTGTCTCTTCAGAATAAGTTCTGTATGAACATTAAACAGAGGAACTGGTCCAGAACCTTCAAATTTATTAAGCCACCCAACAGCTATTGGATAGGAATGAGATTTGGTTGGTGGCCTTTGTTGAAAGGGCTTCATATTTTGGTGTCAGTCCACAGAGCTCTCACGTCCTAACCAAAGGTAGTATTTGTTTATTTGAGCTAGGATTCACTAATAATCTATGGGCTAGTCTACATTATCATTGAAATTGATATAATTTACACTGTTCAGACAAGATATCCCCATAGTGATGTAAGTTACATCTAAACACTGTCCACACAACACTGTGTCAGCAGGAGACACTCTTGTGAAGGAGGAGTTAGTATGCCAATGAGAGTGTGTTCCGTTGACATAAAACGTCTTCACCAGACGCCTGTTTAAATATTCCTGATTGAATTTAGTGTGAGAGCATTTTATGCTGTTAACTCCTCTCTATGCTACAGAAAACCTAGGAAGGGAGAAGTGATTCAACAGATGTAGACCATAACTATTGTCTTCCTTGATATTTGCTTTTTCTTTATTAGCATTTTAGCAATAAATCAGGTAACTGAAGCTTAGGGTTTGGGTCTAGCTAGCTACTCAAAATACTTTATAGGTTAAGCTTCCAGCATTTTGGAATGGAAGATCAGAGCTAGTTACTCACTGCACATTGAGTACAGCCTGTCTCCTTTCTGTGCTCTTTTCAGTGCTGGCATTCAGAATTTCACATGAAAATGAAGATCTGTCTGAGTGGGTGTGTTAGGAGAAAATCATTATATTTGACTAAGCTGTTCCTTTGCTTTTCCTCAGTGCCCTGGACTCAGCATGAATATGAACTGGCCCAGTGGGCATTCAGAAAATGGAAATTTCACCAATTCACTTCATTAAGGGACCAGCTCTGGGGAAATGCAGTCTATCTGAAAGAGGCCAATGCCATCAGCGTGGAATTAAAGAAGAAGGTAAGTGTTTTTTTTTTTTTTTTTTTTTATGAACCACATAGATGTCTATGTACTGATCCTGCTTCAATATATTATACTTCATTTTCTTGACTTTAACCCAGCATATCGTTTGGTTCCTATTTGGTATGAAAAGTGCTTTGAGGCTTTACTGTTATTCAGATGACAGTACTAAATTTGTATTTCTTTCAGTTGATTCTTGTGTACATCATCTCTACTGTGATGGTTCCCCAGCCTTGTTGCAGTTATCCTTTAAAGGCCATGTTAGAAATAAGATCCCTTTTCTTTTTCCCCTTTTCTTTTTCACCTTAACTCCATGTTGGGTTGTTCATCTTACCCAAAAGTGAAGGCTAAATCGAGATGCCTGACATGGCAATATTATATGCTGCTATTAGACTGTCAACCTGTTCCCTAAAAGTTTTGATGTAAAATTAGTGCTGTTCTCAGAGATAAAAATCAAGTTGTTTCTTCCTTTTGCGTAGGTGGGTCCCTCTTTCATTTTAATGAGGCTTTTGGGAGCATTCTTGCTACTAGATTTTAATAGAGGCCATCCTGTGTCTGATTTCTATTCATATATTTGTTTTTCTCCATTAAGGTGCAGTTTCAGTTTGTTCTGCTGACTGACACGCTCTATTCCCCTCTGCCCCCCGAACTGCTGCCCACTGAAGCAGAGAAGGCTCGGAACAACAGACCTTTTCCTCGGACAGTGGTGGCTGTGGAAGTCCAGGATCTGAAGAATGGAGCGACACATTACTGGTCCTTGGAGAAACTCAAGTAGGGTCTAATTAAAAATTACTAGGGTTTTTTCATGCAAGGTCTCTCTAAACTTGTCCCAGATCATCTCACTGCCTTAATCTATGTTCCCTCCACTTAGTCTCGAACTCATTCTTTTCTGCTTTACATAACTCCACTACTGAGAAACAATTGAAAGGTAAAACTTCAATAACGGAGATCTGCTCCTAGAAAAACCTCCCAAAATTTAACCACTTCAAGTCTGAGGTAGTGGTTTTCTTCATTCTTGTGCAGTGTGCAGAAAGTATCCCAAAATTCCCTATTTGTGTGTGTGACTATAGATTCTTCAGCAATTAATTTTTACACTTCTAGAATATAATCCAAAGATTTTGAAACCAACTTGAAATAATACTCTTCATGCTTGTGGTCTGTAGTGGGATCGCTTTGCTTAGTTCTAAAATGCATCCTCTTTTTGAGTGAATTTTGACAGCTATTTAATAGCATACACCAACACAATACATTGGTTCAGTGCAGAAAGTATAGAACGTGCCCATTTGAAATTGCGGGGGCAATTTGGAGGCAGATTGTAATTACTGAAGCTTGAATTTGACCAAAGCCTCAGGGCTCAACCTATTTTTGGGAAAAGAATCAAGGGATATTTATTTGTCTTGATTGGTATGTTTTTGGCATTTCTTCCAGAAGATGCCATCTCCTACAGTACAGTGACCCCTAACAATGTGATAGAGCATTGGTACATTAGAGACAAATGGCTCTTCTCCTTTGTCTCCCTTTCCCTTGCCTGTCTCCCTTTCCCTTGCCTATTTTTGGACAATACTTTATTCTGTCCCTGTAGCATGCCTGCTCCTTCAGGAAAAAATGACCACAGCACCGCTATACTAATGTGCTCATTCATACTTTAGAAGCAAAATCTTATGGCTTCTTTCTCTTGTCATTAATTTTCATGGGAACTTCTTTTGCTGTGTAGGCAGAGATTAGAGCTGATGCGGGAGATGTATGACAGGGCTGGAGAAATGGCATCCAACAGCCAGGATGAGAACGAGAGCACAATGACTGGTAGTGACCCCTTCTACGATCGATTCCATTGGTTCAAGCTGGTTGGAAGGTACATGATGACATTTTTCTCCTGTTCATATCTGTCTCGACAAACCATGACTTTCAGTGGGGTTTTAGGCTGTGTAGTCATATCAGCCATGTATGTGAGGTCTCAAGATTAACGGTCCAACTTCTGGATCTAATTGTTGTGCATCACCAAAACACAGGTAAGAAGCAGGAAATGTTGCCTAAAACTTTCTGGATGCAGATACAAGCTTTTAAAGCACAAATATTTTGAATTCACCCTTGATCGGACTTGAGCTTTATTTCTAAAAGGAAGGGATTGGAGTAACTAGTAAAGTGTTATGTGAAGTTGCAGGAGGAGCACTCTGGAAGAGAAGACTTGTGGAAATACCAAGGGAAATGTGGTCTAGAGCTTGAGGGCCTTGTGTGGATGTAACAAAGCAGTTTTGCTGTCCTTTCTGGAAAGATTTTTCACCTAGTGAGAGGAGAACTTAGAGATTAGAGTGTATGATGTTGTTACTCCCCCCCCCTCCTTTTTTTAAATTGCCTTGTAATGGATATATAAACTTTTGCTATGCTAAGTGAGCTAACTAGAACACTAAATAAGTGTATATAATAGCCTTATTTATCTTCGTATTTCCTTTTGCTTTCTGCTCAGTCCAAGGATTCTGTCTTTCCCAAACTATGTCAACAATCCCCTTCCTCTTATCTTATCCCAATCCAGACAGTCTAACGCTTTTGCTTGCCATTATGGTGGGCTCCCTGTTGACTGCAGCAATAAGATCTGTTGAATGAAGCACTCCTCTGTCCCCTTGCTATGTTAATCAGTGTTCCGTTAACTGATATCTAGCTCCCCCATTTTCCATGGCTGCGTGAATGAGCGCCTTGCTGACCGCACGCCCTCCCCCACTTTCTCCACGGCTGACTCCGACATAACCGAACTGGCTGATGAGCAGCAAGATGAGATGGAAGACTTTGATGATGAGGCCTTTGTGGATGATACTGGCTCCGACGCTGGAACTGAGGAGGGATCGGACCTCTTCAATGATGGGCACGACCCGTTTTACGACCGGTCCCCTTGGTTCATTTTAGTGGGAAGGTTGGTGAGGTTACTGTGAGACTAGCCAAAAGGGACCAGCTCTTGCCATAGGCTGCATAGATCTTGCCTTTCAGAAAGGAGAATACTAATCAATCTAATTCATAAGTAGCCATATATAGAAATGGGACTTGTCTGACCTCCTCAGGCATTGTCAGTTTTAAAGAGTACAGTGCAAATCGTCCACCATTGAAGGGTCCAAGGACCACTGCTTTTATCATCACAACATAAAATCCATTCCTTTTCCCTTGCTTTGAGTAATTAGTGTATTTTTTTTATCAACTGTTGCAGAGTTTATGGCTCTAATTCATCTCCTCTCTCATGTAGACACAACCAAGTACAGCATGTCACACCAATAATATTTGAGTTCTGGTCATAACAAATGTTCACAGATAATTTCTGTGAAATACCCAATTTTACTGATGGGGAAATTGAAACAGGGTTGATGAGTGATTTGCTTAGTCTACAGAGAGAGCTTATAAGTGATTGGAATTGACGAGCTCAGAAGTCCTTAGATCAGGGGTAGGTAATAATTTTTGTTGTGGGGGACCACTTAAGGAATTTTGCTATGCGGTTACGGGCTGGCTTCATCCCCAGAAGGGATGGAGCTTGGGTGCAAGGGGCAGGCTTGGGATCTAGCCTCCGTAGCCTTTGAATTAAAAACACCGCAAAGAGCTCACGACTCCCAGCCCCACCGCTACTATGTTGCCTGGCAGCCACCTGGTGTTGCTGCGGCGATTTAAAGGGCTTGTGGCTTTGGCCCCTGCCAGGTAGCACCGTGACTGTGAGCCATTTAAATAGGATCCTGCTGCCTGAGCCACCACCTGGAAATTCGGTGATATGGGCAGCAGGCTATAAATGGAAAGCAACCAGATGCAGCCCACAAGCTAGATCAAAATGTGAAGTAGACTAGATGCTCCCCCTGGGCTGCATCTTGCCCAGCCTTGCCTTAGATCCTTGTCCCAAGGAATAAAGCTTTGCTTCTTAAAGACGTTAAACAGAAAATTCCTCTGTTCCCTGAGAAATATTGTGCCCTACCACTTAAATACATGCTTTCATGTGTTGAAAGCATAACTCTTTCAGGGGAATCTAACACACAAAAGTGTCAGTTTGGGTGTATAGGTTTTTTAATTGTCCTTCATGTGCAATAACTGCTTGCTGTAGCAGGAACTATGCTCTGACAGTGGTGCCAACGTGCTATGGTACATATTCATTCCATGTGCGTAGTGTGAGAAAAAATTGAACTATTCATCTTTATTTCAGTACTAATGTTCAACCTGCACTGGAAGCACTGTATACAGGCTGAGCAAATGATGTGTATGAGAAGAACACTTGTGCTTCATGCGGGGGGGCTGGTTCTGTACTCTTGTAAGGGGTGGGGCTCGGCACAAGAGCGGCCAGTGCTCCTATCCCAAGCCTTCAGAACTGGTCGGAGTGTGCAGTGTGGCACTCCTGCAGAAATTTAAAGGACCTGGGATTCTGACAGTTGCTGTTGCTGCAAACAGTAGCAGCTGGTAGCCCTGGGCCCTTTTGAATAACTGGGCCCTGGGGCAATTCTTCCCTTTTGGCTGCCCCTTCCCAGTTGGTGGACCTGCATCATATGTCCACCTATAAAAGAATCCAGATTTCTGCATCTCTGTTTTTAAGTCAATCTGCTCTTGTATAAATTGCCTCTATTCTATAATGCCGCTTCTGATCATGCAGAATTTTAATGAAATTCTGATTAATAGTCCTATGAGTTTCCATCTGTCCTCTAGTCGCTGTTGAATTTGAACCTATCCCCTTTACTCTACTTTCAATTTGTGCAGTCTTATGCTGGTTATAGTAGCAGTTAACCTGTTGCTGTTCTTAGACTAGATTACGATAGGAGGTTGTATATCACCAGAGTTCCAACTGATTTCCTTTCCTCCGTATCTTCCGGTATGTGTGGACAAGTAAGTTGGCCTAGGATCTAGGCAAATATGGTTTCCAACAGTGGCGATTGCTTGACTCAGATGGAGGCAAAATCCAATAATAAACTTAATTAGCTGTGCATTGCTGTGTAAAAGGAACACAAAGGGATAGACTAGCATTACTTTGAGACCTCGGTAGTGCTGAATTAATGTCCTGAAAGGAAGAGCTAGGATATTGAGGTTTAGTCACGCAATCACTCAGCCCTCCTTAAAATCAAACTACAGTATTTTATACTGTGCATTGGCTGCCTTCTATCTGAACTGTAGTCTTTTTTCCCCCCAAAGAGCTGGTCCCTTTAGCCATCTCTTCTGGCATGCTGGGGTGTTAAGTCTGATGATTTAACGGGGTGAAATATGAAACATTTGGTATACTTTGAGGGAGGTGGATGAGGGTTATGCTGTGTTTTCTTCAAATCCTGAGTTGTTGTTGTGTATTTAAAAAGAAATGTCATGATCATTCTGAGTGAGTTCTGTTGTTTTTTATGTTTGGTAAAAATTTCCGTTTTGTTAAATTTCATTTCTAATTTTGTTGCAAGTATGCCATTTTACCTCACCAATCTTTCTGCTAATACAGCTCCCCCTCTTTCAGTCTGCTGGGCTAAAGTGCAGGGGGATATTTGGAGATGGGGATGACTAGGGTGAGTGGGACAGTTCTCCAAGGTATGTGGGAGAGGTGAAAAATAACCTTAACCTTGTATCCTCCTCCAGCTTGATATACTCTTGTGGTGTAACACATGGAGGAAGGTGATATTGATGGATAAAGACAGGTTTTCTCTGTACATCCCCAGCAGCCAATGTGCCATTGTTGTCCATGTCACACAGGATTCAGTATGTCCCACACCAGATGGGAACCCTAAATGATTCTTTGTGTACTTACGTTTCTTTTCCTGATTTTAAAATAATTATCCACAGTTGAGTAACTGGAAGGAAGTGGAACTCTAAAGCCATGTTGTTTTGTCAAAGCGATTCTCAAATTGCAGTTGATCCTCTAAAGCTGAATGCATTTGGTGTCTTATCTGCTGGGTCACACCTCTAGAACATGCATCACATGTAAATATATTTTCATTTGCCATCTTGGGATAGAATGTTCTGGTAGCCCCTAGCGTTAGAGGAGGAAAGCCTTTGTAGAGACTGCCTACGAGACTTTTACTGCAGATGCACACTGATATGAGGCTAGCTAGAGTCCTTCCTGGTGAACAGAGGAGGAGGGAGTGTGTGTGTCTTATTTTACTTGCATTTAAATGTTTTTTAAACTGTCTGTATTATTGATGATGATGGTAATTATATCTGCCTGAACACCTCCTATGGTCCAGTCAGTGTAAATGATTTGAGTTCATTTGAGTTTTGTTTGGCTTCTTTTTCTTCAAATTAGCACTATCTGAAAACTTTGGGTTTTAAATCAACATTTTTTAAACACTTTTTCTTTTTCTGACTTAAGTTTTAATCTCCCCACCTCACTCCTGTTTTATCAGTGTTTACCTCACTTTGGAGCAGACTGAAAAGGAAGTTAGATCCTAATTTTATTTATTTGTGTGCTGAGTTGCAGTTGTTTTAGTTGTATACTTCTGTTTGTCTCATTTTTTGCTCTTACAGCTTTATTAATCCTTCTGTACTGCATTTTGTCATTGCTTTATTTTAGTAGAATTATTTTAGTTTCTTTCATTTGTAACTGGCTACTGCCTACCCTTTCCTCATTTCAAGAGTACCCTTTTGTTGGGGAGATGAGGCACAGAGAGGAGTAGCCTCTTATTTTCTGTAACTTGGGGTTCTTTAGTGTGGGCCGCAAGGCATTGAGTTCATCTCTGTTTTCACCTGTTTTTCTGTGTTTGGTGAGAGGTAGCAGGGGTTATTCCACAGAGTAATAAATGATAAAAGCTTAATTTATAAATGTACTGGATATGAAGACCAAGTGAAAACGGAGTGTATGAAAGTGCATTATAACTGTCAGCTCAACTGGAACCATCTAAATGAAGAAGTCATCATGTAGATTTCTAGTTAATCAATTATAAAGAACTTGTTGGGAGTTAGGGATGTAAAATCTCGGTTAACTAGGATCCCCACCCAGGGGTCTGCTCCTGCTCAGCTCATTAGGAGAAGCCTTCTGCCTATGACATGGTGCGCCCATTCAAACTGGAGCAGCCCCGTACTCTTAGGGTGAGGTAGTGGACCCATCTGAGATGGAGCAGCTCATGGACAGGCCTGCTGTACCACAGGCTGCTCTGGATGGGCTTGCCACACCGTGGGCAGGGGGTTGTTTGGGCCCAGGCAGCCCACTGTGCTGCAGGCTGTCCAGGCTGGGCTGTAGCTCCCCCTGCCTGTGGTTCAGTCCAGTGAGCCCCACCAAGCTGGAGCAGCCCCCCACCCCCACCCTGGCAAATCTGCCAGTTAACCGATTACCCAGTAAGCATCACTCTTATAGTTAACTGCTTACCTGTTAACATCCCTATTTGAGAGTATTAGGTAGCCTCCCTGCATTTTTTTCCATTGAATTCTGAAATATATTATGATACTATCTTTCTTAAAAACACTGAGGAATCCTGTGGCACCTTAAAGGCTAACAGATTTATTTGGTCATAAACTCTCATGGGTAAAAACCACTTCTTCAAGATGCATGAAATTTTATGCCCAAATAAATTTGTTAGTCTTTAATGTGCCACAGGATTCTTCATTATTTTTGCAGATACAGACTAACATGGCAATCTCACTGAAAATTATCATTCTCAATTAAAACCCCTTATCCTGCCTTCTTTGTTGGGAGCTGTCTAAAATATAATTTGAAAATTGTGAACAATGAATTCATGCCCCCTCCACAATGTATTAAAGTTTTTCATTCCAGTAAGTATTTAATATCTTCCAGCATGGGCCCAAAACGTTGCATTCACTCTGTAAGCGGCAGTATTTTGGACCATTGCTCCAGAATTTCATGGTGGTTTGTTATATGGGGGTGGGAAAACTAATATATTCCAAGGTTCTTATCTTTAGAAAATACTGTAGCTCCCCCAACGCTCAGTAACTGATCTTAGAAGCCTGAAAGATTGTTTATAATTCATTGGGGAATTGTGATAATTACTTCACATATAGAGTACTCTAAAATATGCATAGAGGGAAGATGCTTAGTCAAAATTTGTTTTAAACGCTTACATATATTCAAGTAAACATTAGTTAGATTGCTAAGCAGTCACTTTCCTTTTAATTTGTCGTATCTTGCCTTTAAACTACAATCACAGGGTGGAACGTTCCTAATGTTGCTTGTATGAAGTAGAGCCTCTGGAGTTTTTAATGTCTTTCTAACAATGCTGTTTACAACTGTATTGTATCAAAAGTCATTTTTCATAAGCAAACATCTTAAATATCTCCTCTATATACTTTGTAACTCACTAATGCAGGCCTGTTGACTTCAACTAGCTCTGGTTTAGTGTGTTTGTGTGTTCACACAGCTTGAAAATACTACAGGACCATAGAACAGTGTGAAAATAGCTGTCCAGTACAGTGTGATGTGTTATGGCACAACTGCAGACAGTAGGCTGTATAAAGGTGTCTGTATCCTGTCAGTCAGTCAAATGCAATGCTCTCTTTCTTGTGGTAATGGATGGTCTGATGATGATTTTCACTCCTATTACCAGGGCATTCGTATATCTGAGTAATCTGCTGTACCCAGTGCCGCTCATCCACAGAGTGGCAGTTGTTAGTGAGAAGGGGGAGGTTCGAGGATTTCTGCGTGTGGCAGTGCAAGCAATAGCAGGTAAGATATTCTGGGAGTGCTCTTACAGTTCAAGACTTTAGATGATTTTTGAACAACTATTAAAAAAAAAAAGTTGGCTTCAAGTGTTTGCTTTTTGCGGCATTTGGTTCTGGACCAACTTTAAGATCTGGTACTTGCAAGCCTCCTAAGACTCTCTTCTATTACAAAACTGTTTTATTTTTTCCAGTGATACAAAGCTAGCATTGAAATAGTGACTAGTTAACTTACAGAAAATTTATCATCTCTTTTAGAGGCTTTGAAATGATCACTCTATCACTCTAAGATTTGTGTGGTAGCTAAGCAAATCCCGGGTTTAGAGACAGAGGAGTAGGAAAAATAGCTTCATTACATATTTCAAAACATCTTTAAAAGTGTCTTGTCTTCTACAGTATTGGCATAAACATAATGGAAGATAGTGCATGTGACTGTGAGTATAAAGGTTTGAATGACACTAGATTTGGATGATCTGTGGGACTTGTGTACGCCTGTAACCTCTTGAATCTCATGTTCTTGTCCCAAACAAACATCCATGAAATCTTTATTTTATTACATAGTCATTCCTGTCTTTCTAAATCACATACTAAGAGCTCTACCAACTTTATATTGTACTAGAAGATTTACATAGCACTGCTTTGGTCCTTAACTGAATTTTGGTTTTTGGAAAAAATGAAACTGCACATTTCATTTAAATCATTGCTCTAGGGCGGGGCTGGAGATGTGGGGTTCGGTATGCATGTTAGCCCAGGGAGGGAGGATTACCTCAGCCCCCTCTCATTGTAGCAGCTTGGGCCCAAGTGAGAAGCGCCTCTCCATGGCTGCAGTAGCTCCAGTGGACACAGCTGAGGGGGAGGGTTGTATGTCCCCCAGCTGAGGCAGGTCCAGGTTTGTTTGCCCCTAGTGTTCCCCAACCAAAGTAAAGAATGCAGAAAACGTGCTCTTTCCCCATGCTACCTGGTGAAGGGGGAAACAGCCAGCAATGTCACCATACGTATGGGCAGGGCTTGACAAACAGCGGCAAAACCTACTTGCCAGCCCCACACTGCTCATACTCAAGACCTGCATTGCGCATGCGTGCACCACTGGTGAACGGGATGACCGGCTGAAATCTACTTGCCCCTACCTAAAGGGCAGATGGGAGGCTCAGGGCTAGGACAGTCCCAAGCATGCCCCTTTCACCTGCCTGGTGATTGTCTCTTTTCTGTGTGTTTTTTTAGAAACATTCCAGCACATCCTATTTTAATGACATAACCAACCTTATTTTGCAGTAGACTCTCCTATGAGTGGATACAGGCATCTCTAGGGATTAGGCATTAATATTGATTCCTTGGTTAGTCATAGGCCAGATCACAATCCCTCACCATCCAAAGGAAAGAGCAAAACTCTGTAGAGTAGCTGAGGGATTTTTGTTTCTCCTTCCTAGGGTTGTTTTTTACCCTTACAGCAGGTTTTGTAGAGAACTACACACCAGCTTGTCCTGTTTAATTTTGCATGGGACAGTGTTGATTTAATTAGTTGGGGATGCCGGTTAAGCACAAAAAATTCTGTTGCTTTCTAGGGAAAACTTTATTTAAGAAAAAATAAGAAGAAAATTATCTAATTAAACTTGACCCTTCTCTTTGCTAATTTTGTGAGAGGAGGAGGACGTAATAAATGGCCTTTGTCTAGCTCTTATCTTCCAAGCAGTTGGTGACGTTTTCTTTTTTCCCATACAAGTGAATTAAGATTTGTCCCTGGTATTCGACCATGCAGCATTCATGTTGGTGAGAGCTCAGATACTTCTCGTGATTTATCTGTCCTTTCTAGCAGTGGCTAACATCCAATTGTTGTCTTTTGTATTGGAAGACAACCCTGTAGGTCTTTCTCTCTATGGGAACATTGTGATGAAGTCTCAGACTGAGGCTGTGAGATTCACTCTGGCAAAAGCTCAAATGGCAGATGAAACAATTGAATAGGCTCTAAAGTTTTACTTCTAGTTTGATTTCTTTAGAATTAACATTTTAATACTTATACTCAAATGGATGATGTGAAAGAGTAAACTATGCCAATTTACAAATTAATTTTGCAACATATATTTGAAATACCTCATGGCTTTTTGTCTAACTGATATTTCAAGATGGCTTTCTTAATCTTGGGATCACTCATGTAAGCACGCATCAAATATTAGAAAATACCTCAGAACTAACTCTTATTGGCAGTCTCAGCAAAGACTGGGCTGAATGAGCCATAGAGTGAAGTAGTTTCTCACTCTGGATGTCTCTCTAGATCAGTGTGACATATTAGAGCTGTGCTATTGTGGGTGCTCACTCTGTGGGTAGAGCCTTGTAGTCTTCAGGATTATAAATGTCTTTTCTTGAAAGACCATCATCGTTGAACTCTGAGAGATTTATGACTAATCTGGCAATAACAAGTAGTCCTTTGGCACCTTGGTCTATATATATAAATAAAACCAAGATTTTGTGGGTGAAACCCACTTCATCAGATGAGCACTGATAGTGAAGTGGGCTTTTGCCCACGAAAATATGTCTGAATAAATCTGTTAGTCTTCAAGGTGCCACAGGACTTGTTTTTGCGGATACAGACTTAACACGTCCACCTTTCTAATACCACTCTGGCAATGTTCATAATTACTAAATTAGCTGTAAAAAGCCTTGGGTTGTGTTTTACCCCTTTCTGTAGAGCTTCTTACTGTATTAAGTGTTTTGTCATGGCTATTAATGTACACCTTGTGTCATGGCAGAAAACTGTTACAAAGCTATTGTCCCTAGTGAACTGGGCACAACAATCTAGAATTACCTTCATAATCAATATACTCTTCACTGTGTAACAATTCCCCTAGAGGTAAGGATCTTGAGGTGTGACACAGGTCAGTGATTGCATTAGAACTAGCCTGGGGAAAGGAACTGAAAATTCATTCTTTGCTAATCAAGCACTGGATCCTTCCTGGTTCGCTTACATTTAATGTTTCAGGTTGGAAAAAATCTATCCTGTTCTTATCTCTCATTCTTGGTCTTTTCAATCGTCATGTTGTTCACTTTTGTCCATTCACTTTGGATGTAACATTAAAAAACAACCAATTATACATTAAATAGTTATATAAACATTTAACTCAGGAATTCTCAAACACCAGCATATTAACTTTGAATCTTATGGGTAGAACTAAACCTGTTTTTTTTTTTTTTAAATCCTCTCCATTCTCTTCCCAAAAACTAGTGCTATGTAGTTTGCTACAGTATTTTTTCCAGCAACGTGGATAATTTAAACTGGGATGTGCTGGGGTATACACCACTTGGGAAACTAGTATCCCAGCACATCACTCTTACTGTTTGAATTTGTTTTCCAATATCATATTTTCTTTGCCTTTCTAGCTGATGAAGAAGCCCCAGATTATGGATCTGGTATTCGTCAGTCTGGCACAGCTAAAATTTCTTTTGATGATGAATATTTTAATAAGGTAAATGTTATTTGGGTTAGAGAGGTTTGTGAGGGGAAAGGAAGAATGTTTTGTTAGATACAGATCAGGCAAGTCAGAAACTGCAGTGTACTCAGCTGCAGCCCCTATCTTGTACTTTTCAGAGTGACTTTTCTTCAGTTGCAATGACTCGTTCTGGACTGTCACTAGAAGAGCTGAGAATTGTGGAAGGGCAAGGTCAGAGTTCAGAGGTCATGACTCCCCCAGAAGAAATTAACAGAATGAATGACCTGGGTAAGTGGGCATACCTTCCGGGACTTGAGAGGACAAATATGAGGCTATTCTGGTTCTGTAGTGTGCTTCACATGAAGGAATGTTGCCTGTAGGGTGCTAATGATACATAATGGTGACTGCTTCCTTTTGAGTTTTGATTTACAAAATATTGACTCAGATAATAGCACACAGAAGTTTTTAAGTTGCAGATGTCCAGAATTTTTTTATCACTCAAAGGTTTCAAAAGTTGTCTGCCTCTTTATTTGTTAATCTCTAACTGGTAATTACTCTGTACCCTCTTGCAACTCTAGTTTTCCCCACCAGGGTGAGAAGAAAACTGATAGCGCAGGTCTATCCCCACTTTGTGTCACCAGTGAACTCTGCTTTTTTGAGGTCACTTGGCCTCCTTTGAAAGTGCTAGATCTTGTTTACACCAGGATTTTTTAAATAATTAATTTTTCATTTGCAGCTGGGTAAGTGGTAGTCTTGGGGATGGCTATTGTGTAGGTTCAGAGAAAATCAAGCACTTTTACTGCAGTCACCTAACTCTGTTCTGAGGTGTTAGGCACATTGGAAGAAATATGTATGCTTTTTCTATACTGTGGCTTTTATCATTGCTACCACTAGTGAAGTTGCATATGCTGTGAATAAAGGCTTTGAAAAACCCTTTTGTAGATAAACTCCAGGAGATCAGAGATTTGGGCATGGGGGATTAAATCCCACCTTTTCTGGGTTGAGTATGTATAGATGTAGTAAATCTGAATGTTTCACAGGACATCTTTGTGTCTCTTTAAGACCTGAAGTCGGGCACTTTGCTAGATGGGAAGAAGGTGATGGAAGGATTTACTGAGGAGGTTGGAGACCACCTGAAACTGGGTAGTGTGTTCACCTTCCGAGTGACAGTGCTGCAGGCCAGTGGCATTCTCCCAGAATATGCAGATATCTTCTGTCAGTTCAAGTAAGAATCTCTCCTTGGTAGTAAGGGGTGGGAAAGGCTTCTTCAGTGAAGAGGAGTAATCAATGCTTGATACTGGGAAAATGGAGATGAGACTAGATTTATTTTTTAGGAGTCATTGTGTCAGAGTCCTGTCAGGGGGGAGTCCAATCTGTGTAGCTATCAGATTGCATGTCCTGAACAAATATCTGCTTTGTAGAAAGGAGACAAGCACGAGCCTTTCAAACCTGCAGAGCCGGTGCCTCATTGGGTATCAAGATGTTTTATAGAAGAGACTTTGAGATCCTGTAATGAAAAGTGCCATAGAAGTGTAAAGTAATAATGCCAGTACCTATTGGTTTGTTTAATATACTTATAAGGTCCAAATCAATACCCAGCTTGAATCAAATGATCTGGAATTAGGGCAAATTTAGCAGCTCTCAAATGAGAGTTCTGTCCACATTTAGATTCTAAAGAATAAGGATGAGAAGGGAGGTAGGAAATACAGAAACTAATAAAACAGTAGTTGGGACCCCAACATTTTCAAGAATGAACCTGCCTAAAGATTGGTTGAGGCTTAATACATGGCCAGCAGAGCAGAAGTGTTTGAGTTTTTGTATGGGATGGACCCCACAACTGAGCAGTTTTCACTAATCTGATCTGCTGTTTTCTTTTAGCTTTTTACATCGACATGATGAAGCTTTCTCTACTGAACCTCTCAAAAATAATGGCCGGGCGAGTGCTCTTGGGTTTTACCATGTCCAAAATGTAAGTGAAGTGTAGTGATCTTGTATGTAGGCTGAATGAGTGTCCAAATACTCGGATTTACAGTTACAGTTAACCCAGAAAGGCTGGAGCATTCCCTCGCCTGCCACAGGGAGGGGACTTTTTCAGCCTTGCGGGCATTGCCATGAGTGGTGGACCCAGCCCAGACAGAGCAGTGCAGTGGGGGTACTCCAGTCCTGGTGGAGCAATCCGCCCCCCTATTTAAGTGGTTAACCTGTTAAACATAATTGATTACATGGGATTTTACATTCCTAAAAGAGAAAAGCCCATGATCAGGCTTCTGAATTGATAGTGTATAGCTTAATAAGTAATGTAACCATTTTGTTACAAATTGCTTTCTACTTTTCTTAACTGAAGAGTGCTTAGGTCATGGGATTTTTCACTGGTAATTGTTAATGACATTCTTAACACCCAAAACAAAGCAAGGTATGTGTCTGCTTTTGCAGTGATTGGCTCTCTTCAAGCCATTGGATAAGAAATGTTGAACCCTGAACTCAATTCTTGGCAGGTAAAAGGCTTGCATTTTATCTGCTCTGACTTTTCCTTACTACCTTTGCTAGATTGCTGTGGAAGTGACAGACTCTTTTGTGGATTACATCAAAACCAAGCCTATTGTGTTTGAAGTCTTTGGGCACTACCAGCAGCATCCTCTCCATCTGCAGGGACAGGATCTCAACAGGTATGGACTAGTTCAGAAGTACAAGTGTCCTCCCCCACAGCATTTCTTCCTTCTGCTGAGAAGGATGAACACTACATACTCCATTCCTTTGCTTCCTGAATTCAGTGCCTCACATGGAAGTCTTGCTACTTAACATTTGTCCCAAGTGTGCCCTAAGCGAATCCTAGTACTAGACAAGTGACAGCCTCCCTTGCTCCCCTGGCCCTCCATGTAATGAGTATACCATGGTTGATAAGAATACATATTTAAAGCCAAAAGAACCCTGTGCAAAAAGAAACTGGCCTCATCAACTCCTCATGACTTCCAGAAGCGCACCTGCCAAGGCTGGTGAGCACCTTAAATGTTCTGAGTCAGTGGAAGACTTCCCAGTGCTCTTGCTCTTTGGTGTGAGGGGAGAGAATGATGTATGGGTTTCTGGGTTTGGCTTGGATTGCTGGAGACTATCTGCAAAGAGAAATGACATGTTGATGTTCAAAGAAAAATCAGCAGAGGTTTGTGTTCTTGGATAAAGCCATTTTTAGGAAATGCATTTCTTTCTGCTTTGCCTTGAGCAGAGACTAGGGAAAGGGCAGAGATTAAAAGGTAATCCATTTTTGCTTAAAGCTGTGCAAAAGTAGCAGGAATTCAAAATGCGGTGTTTATTATTTGGAATAGGCAATGAGTCCTGGGTTATGTATGGTCCATACATTTCCCATGTGAGATTGGGCATATAGGGTTGTGAGGCTCATTGTTTTTTGTAAAGTGCTCAAAGATTCCTGGGTGGGAAGTAGGTGGGAAACACCAGGAGAAGTAACTGCTTTCCCTTTTTTGCAGCCCTCCTCAGCCATCCCGGCGATTCTTTCCACCTCCCATGCCGCTGTCGAAGCCAGGTGAGAACATGTTATATATGTATGTCTATAAACTTATCTGGTAGAACTATGGGGGTGAATTTTTCAGAACTACATTTGTTTGAAATTGAGAAATGAAATCAATGAGCAATGTAAAGAACATTGGAACATCCTCTCTGCTCTGTTCCTTCCCAGGTTTTGTGTTCAACCTCATCTAGAACTAAAGAATTTCTCATTGTACTTGGAGGAGGGGGGGGGGTGTTCCATTTTGCATTCCTGACATATCCAGCACTAGAACTGGCTACACAGCTACTCTTATCATTTTGATTACTGAGCTGAGGATTTACTTACCCATAAATCACTTTGTTCTGCTTTTGCTAATGTTGCTTGCACTTTCATGCACTAAGCCAACCTTGCTAAAATGATCCCTGAGTTTTCTTTTAATTTTGCATGTTGAACTCTTTTCTTTTCTCCCCTCTGTCCTCTTATCTCTTTTTCCTTCTTCCCATCACCTGCTTCTCTCCACCACTCCCATTTTTGTTTTCCATTCCCTTTTCAGACCATGAGAGAAAAATTGAGTTGATTAGGTATCTCATGTCTGGCTATGTAAATGTGCATGTGCTGAACACGCTGTCTGAGCACGCCAATGTGCTTGCATCCTCGGCTGTGGCTACATTCCAGGATGGGGCTGACCAGCTGCCACCTTTTCTTTTTCTGCCTGTTCCCAGCTGTCAGAGTGAGCGGGTTCCCAAAAGAGATGGTTAGTAGTCAAAATTCCATCTACGATAGATGTAGAGATAACCCTTAATGCTGATCCCAAAGCAGTTTGTCTACAGCTTTGCTCTGTGGTATGCTGTATACCAGAAACTACCTTGGATTCCTGGTCATTGTGAAGTAATAAAGCTTTTAGATCAGCAACATCTAGTGTCTAAAGGAGAGTATGGGGAGTTTGAATTTGTGTGCCGGTCTAGTCCCGGCTCTGCCACTGATATTTATTGAGACTTTTTAACACCTAACTTTGCTTTGCCTCAGTTGTCCAATCTGTAAAATAGGAATATTTACCCCATGTCCTTTGTAAAGTGCTTTGGGATCTTCAGGTGCAACGTACTATATAGTAAATTATAAAATTAAACGGTAGAGGGCATTTCCTTTTGAGCATGTTAAAAATTCTCCTTCCTGCTCACCTGTTATCTAGCATCATTTTTCCACACTACCTAAAAGCCAGCTGTTGAGTTGTGTATCTTTATGACACAACCCATGAAGATTCTTAGAACAAGCCTGCATGTAAACTTTGAAACTGAGTTAGTATGTTGGGTTTTCTTTTCTGTTGTAGCTGAATTCCTCTGCTTGGTTCAAACTTCAGTGGTTTTTGTCCCTGATCTTTCTCTGACTAACATCAACAGTCCTGAGTCTAGCTGTCATGAGCTTGTGGAGTCTCTGAGCACAGCTGCAGTTGTTATTTTCATATGGTGGGGGTGTAAGAGGGTGATATCAGTTACTCAAAGTATGAACGAGGGAGAGCAAATGATGTCCCTGAAGCTCACTGCCTAGCATGTTAATCTAGGGCTGCTGTGTACCACTTTCATTCTTGTAATTAAGTCTTTGTAGTGGTGTTTAACTAACTATTTCCATTCATCTGAACAAGGAGTACAGAAAGAACTCAAACATCTTCCTCTGACAGGGATTACCTATTTTGAATGCACATAGTCACCTCCACTAAGTAACACCTGTAAAGCTGGATTTTTGTGTCTGACAAGTGGGTTGTAATTGAGGCATTATGAAAGTGAAGAGAAGCTGAGGAACGAAGGGCTGAACCTCAAACACTAAATTAAGGCTTATTTTAAATAGATAGGGAGAGAGGCCCTTAATGGGTTATTAAAACATTCACTAATAAGTAAATATTAAAACTGAAGGAGTGGAGAGAAAGTTGCAGAGTTGAACACACTTCTATATTTAGAGTGGAGTGGAAGAAAACTCTCAAATACCTTGTCCATTACCAAAAATTGAGGCAAATTAGGAAGGCAAATTAGAGGTACTGGAAATAGTACCTAGCAACTGTGTATGTTTAGGGCTTTTCTATATAGCTTTGCAGTTCAGATTAGACATTTCAATTACAAGACACATTGGTGTGCTGCAGTGTAACTCACATGTGGATGCTATGCAAAATAAATGTACTCGGTAGGGTTCACTGAGGCCTGGTCTACACTAAGAAGTTTGGTTGACCCAGCAGTGATGCTCAGAAATGTGAAAAATCAGTCCCCCGAGTGACATAGGTAAACCCTGGCATAGACAAGGCTAGTTTGATGAAAGAATTCTGTTGACCTAGCTACTTTATCTCTGGGAGAGGGATTAGCTCTGTTCAAGATAGAATGCCTCCCATCAGCATACATAGTGTTATAGTGTTTACAATGTTGCATCTGATGTAGTGGGTCTTTGGCCACGAAAGCTTATGCTCCAATAAATGTTAGTCTGTAAGGTACCACAGGACTTTGCAGTGTTTACACTGAAGCCCTGCAGCTGTAGTGTTTGCAGTATAAACTAGGGATGTTAAAAAAGAGTTTAAGTAACCATATAACTGCTGAAAAAATCTTAGTGGTTACACGCTTCAGGCTCTGCAGTACAAAGCTTATGCTGAAGAGCCTGCAGTGAAGTTGGTTCCCCAGGAGCAGGGCTGGCCGCCAGTGCATGCTGGAAGCTGGCTGTACTCCCAGGAAGCTGGCTGTATTGTGGGCTCTGCAGCATAATTTTATATGGCAGAGCCCACTGCTTGGGGTGGGAGTTGTTTCCCTCTGAGCTGGCTTTTAAGTGGGCTGCTGATGTGCACTAGCTCCCACCTGCTGCCTCACCCCCAGAGAGCCAGCTGCTGCCTCGCACTGCTGCCTGTGATAGCAGCACAGGGCTTGCACTGGATCCTTCTGCTGCCCAGTCCTGGGGAGCCAGCATGTAACCATTATGGTAACTGATAGCTCATACATCTCTAGTCCAAACAAGCCCTTAGTCATATTTAAACAGGACATAGTTGATTTAAACGAGGTATCTTTTAGTTCTGCAGTGTCTACGTGGGATAATTACAGTAGTGCACAGTCAGTTCTTACCCCCTGTAGATCAAACTGAGGGGCCTGGGAGGCATAGCCTCAAATAGGGGAATGTTGGGCTATTGCTAGAATCTGTCCATTTCCTGCAATTACCTGTTACTAGAAGTGCAGTTTGACCATTCATCATTTGTGAAGAGCTGTGTCCCTGCAGAGCTAGTGAGCCTGAAAGCACTAATTTACCGGTAATAGTGAAATATAGGGAGCCAAGCATTCTAGGAATGCTCAGGAATAACTCCTGTTAAATCCCTGTACAGTATATGCACGTGCACATTCTGTATGTTGTCAATCCAGCTGATTGTGCTGCTGTGGGCAATGAAGTGAAGGCATTTACAGCAAGAATCACTTAAAATACCTCCAAGTCCAGTAGAAAGTGCAAGCATCTCTGAAGTCTTGACTTGATCTTTTCATTCAGAGACTTAGATATGGGAGTAAATATTGGCAGACCTAGACCCTCCAGAATTCCAAACATTCCATAGTCAAGCCTATGAATGACATTTAGTTCCTGGGTTTTTGATGGCAGGTGTCTGTCATATTCTCTTCATGTACACAGAAATATTACACAACTTTGGTGTGATAAGTAGCATTGAAATTACATCATGGAATCTTAAGTACTGTGATTACATTTCCTGTGAACAGTTTTTGTAAAACAGTTTTTGTATTCTTTTAAGTTCCAGCCACAAAGCTAAACACTATGAGCAAAACTAATCTGGGCCAGAGCATGAGCAAATATGACCTCCTGGTTTGGTTTGAGATCAGCGAGCTGGAGCCAACCGGAGAGTGAGTTCAACATTTATCTTCCTTTTGTATAACTGAACTAGTGTGAGTGAATCCATTCACCTTTAGGGCATTGGTTCAAATGAATCCAGGTTGATAACACTTGGCTATTGCCATATGTAAGATGCTTGATTTTTATGGGAAATAAAATGGTCCCAATCCAGTTCCCAATGAGTAGTAACGTAGCTGTCATTAGTTGGCCCCATTATTCTCAGTCTCCTCAGAGCAGCCAAAGATTGAAGAAATATGAAGAGTGACCTTCCTTTTCACTCCTAGAAGTGATTCCTCCAGATTAGTGGCTAGGTAAATTAGCAGAGCAGTGAGTAGGGGAAGCTTATGCTGCTGCAGATCATGTGGTACCTGTACCCTTGTTCCTCTAGAGACTAAGCTCTTTAGTTTTAGTCCAACAACAACATAAGAGTGACTGTACTGGGTCAGACCAAAGGTCCATTTAGCCCAGTATATCCAGTCTTCCAACAGTGGCTAATGCCCACTGTGAAATGAACAAGACAGGCAATCAAATGATTGTTGCCCATTCATAGCATCTGGCAAACAAGATGCTAGGGACACCCTTCCTGCCCATCCTGGCTAATAGCCATTGATGGACCTATCCTCCTTGAATTTATCTAGGGTTTTTTTTAACCTTGTTATAACAAGAACTATTATGCAATTTAACCCTGCTACATAGGAATTCCCTGACAGTTCTTTGGGAACTATATTATAGGGTCATTCTGTATTTTGACAAAGGGGTGTAAGTGTGTGATGCAGTATTTCATGATGTTCAAAAGTCCAGTATAGAATCTGATATTTGGAGTCAGTGGAAGGGGCTTTATTTTTATTAGGATATAATAGGGAAGTGTGTGGTGGTGGTAAAGCAAAGCAGCAGCATTATCTAATGTCCCACTATCTGCTCTGTAAACACATCTTCTGTAACCCAGGGTGGGTTGTTTTTTTTCCCCACACAGATACATCCCTGCTATCGTTGATCACACCGGAGGTCTACCCTGCCAGGGGACGTTCTTGCTTCACCAGGTACTAACCGAGGCTAGAAGGGGACAGCTAAAATACCTACCTCCTTTTGTGTGTAGCAAGCAATTGTCTGACTTACTGAATTTTGCATCCATTTTATCTTCTACTTTTGTTTTTCTACATATCTGTCTGCATCTCATAGCTCTCGAGTCATTCAACTTTCTGTCTATACCTCTGTCTCTGAGGCTTGGGTCTGTGGTGAACAGGAAATTTTGTCTTCTAAAATCTGCTCTTTCAAGTGCTTAGTTATATAAAAAATATATTTCAAGAGTGGAATCTTTTGGTCAGCAGTGCCAAGTGGGGCTGCACATGCACCTTTAACTTCTTCGAGGAGTGTCCCTGTGGATGCTCCACCTTAGGTGTTTTGGCGCTGCAACTCGACTGGCCAGAAGATTTTACTAGCAGTGGCTTTGACAGCTAACTTGCACATGTGCAGAAGCACTACACGCGCTAAGCTGCTAATGCGCATGTACAAGATACGGTCACCTCAATTCCTTCTCTGCCACTGGCAGCGTCACTCGGAACCCGCAGTGCGCTCTGCAGATTTCTCCTCAGAAAGACAGCTAGTCTTTTCCTATACTTAGCCTTTTCATTGTATTTTTATTATATCTTTACTATCCTTAAAAAAAAAAAAAATCGAGTGACTCCCTCAGATATGGAGACAGGTATGGGCTCTGCAGCCCATGCTTCTCCTCAGGGGACTCCTTTCCTATACCGAGGAGTTTCTTTTCCCTCAGCTTCAGCTCCAGCCCCCTCACATAAGGCTGAGAGAGATTTTTTTTCTTAATCTTTTTTGCAGCATTCTCCCAAGTGGGGGCTCTGTTTTAAATGCTGTTTTATCCTCACGGGCTGTCAATCACACTGCCAGACTAGCACACTCAGTGCATACATTATCTGGACAATTACAGCACAGTTTTACTGCCATCAGCCAAAATTTGGCAGCTGGGGTCAGGAGAGCCAGAGGGTTTTCAGCTGATCTCCCTCAAATGCTCTCTCAGACCAGCGTCGGGCCCTGGTTACCCCGCTTTCCCGCTATTACTAACACCAATGTCAGTGTTGAATAAGGCAGTTCCCCCTGCCACAGCTGTGAGCTCTGCTTCTCCCAAACAGAAGAGAGCGCATGTAGCAGCAAATAGGGAATCCCCCTCACATAAGAAAGGGCGATCCCTGAATCCTAAGCCAGCCCCGTCCCCTGCTGGGACTCCAGATAAGCGCTTACTGGGGCAGTGTTCATCCACAGTGCCCTGAGGGTCTAAGGATCTGGCCAGTGTGCCTAAACATGCTGACAAGCCCAAGCCTGTCACGGCTGAACAGCATAGGGTTACAATAGCATCATCAGTCCTACTGACACCAAGCAGTGCTGTACACAAGGGCAGCACAGGGACGAGAGCACTGTTACCGCCCCCAGCACCTGAGCCATCCCCATTGCTCGCGAAGAAAGAGCATACACCAGCACAATATTCTTTACCACCCATGTGTCCCTTTTGCCCTTATACATCCACAGACGATTCTATGATCTCTTCAGTGCCCGCGACACCTTTGTTTGGCACTGATTCCTCCCCCCATTCAAGGAGTTTTCCATGTTTCCATACCTCTGTTATCTGGTGAGGAGGATCAGGCTTCTATCATGACCTCAACTCCTCTCAGACACTCTACGCTGAGGCCAAATTCCCTCACTCATAACCTCACTCACACTGGCAACCTGTGCATTGGCTACCACCACCTATGCCAATGCCCCCTATATGGCCCCCGGGCACCTTACAGGGCTCAGCAGCAACAGCATCACCATGTTGCTCAGCTTCGCTCCAGGCCTACATCCACTGTGTCCCTTGAGGCCTCAAGGGACCAGACAGACTTGGATCAGCCACTAAGTGATGAGGAATCCAGTTACTTCCTCTCATGCACTTACACAGATATCTCCTCCCTCCCCAGGGGTACGCACTCATGCCTCCGCAAGCCCTATCAGGGACAATTTCCAGGCTTTCCAAGATCTTTTCAAGAGGGTAGCTGAGGTTCTTGAGGTCTTGTTAACCACACTGCTAGAGACCCAGCATAAACTTACGAGCATCCTCCATACCTCTCTTTCCACGAGGCTCACTCTCCCCATGGTCCCCGCTTTCATGGACCCAGCCAAGCAACTTTGGCCAACACCTGCTACCATTCACCCAGTGGGCAAGAAGGCAGATAGGAAATATTACATGGCTCCTTTGGGTGCTGAGTTTTTATTCTCACATCCCTTCCCTAACTCCATAGCAATTAAGGCAGTGCATCAGAGGAGCAAGCAAAACATTGCCAAATCCATCTCTCCTGATAAGGAGTGGAAATGTCTAGACAAAATGGGCAGACGGTCATAGTCCTCAGTGATACTTAGCTGTAGAGAGGCAAATTACACTGCGATGCTGGCAAAATACACTCCTCGCCTATTTGAGCAAATTGCAGATTTTATTCAATTCCTCCCAGAGAAAAAAATAGAACAAATGAGAGCCTCCTCATAGCCAAAACAGCCCTCCAAGCTGCTTTGGACTCAGCTAACAGTTTCACGAGCGCTTGACATCTCTGTGGTGATGAAAGGCGCCTCTTGGCTCCACCTCTTTGCTTTCCCAAGGGAGGTCCAGACGAAGGTGGAAGACTTTCTGTTTAAGGTCCCAAAGCTCTTCACTGATGGCACAGATGGTTCTTTACATTCCCTGAAAGACTCCAGGGCCACACTTAAAATGCTGGGCATCCAGGCTCCTGCACCAAAACACAAACAAAACAAACCTTACGTTCAGATATACAGACCGTCCGTCCCTCTTTGGTCATTCTCAAAGACAATATGACCCTAGAAAGCGCCAATGTCAAGGGGGAAGGTGACAGCCAGCCGATCAACCCCACTCCATCTCAGTCTCTAACTCTAGGCAAACATTTTGAAGGTCTGGTCAAGAACAATCAGATTTGTATTCCCTCACCCAAGCGTCCTGTTATCCAACCACAGATTAGCACCGTTTTACCATCAGTGGTGCCTCATTACTCCAGACAAATGGGTTCTGGATGTGATAAAGTTCGGGTACTGCATCCCCTTCCTATCTCCTCCCAAAACCCAACCACTCACCCTATCCCTCTTCAGGGACCCATCTCACGAGACTGTTCTATGTCAAGAGATCGACCACTTGCTCCATATCAGTGCAGTGGAAAAAGTTCCACAACCATATCAAAACCCTGGCTTCTACTCCTGATATTTTCTCAGAGAAGAAGTCAGGGGGCTGAAGACCCATTCTCGATCTCAGAGCTCTCAACAGATACGTCCTGTACCAACGCTTCAAGATGATTACCCTCTCCACCACCACACCCTCCCTCAACAAAGATGGCTGGACATGATGACCTTCTGAGGTCTTTTCCAGCTCTATGGTTCTATGATTCTATGACTGGCTGGCATCTCTCAACCTCCAAGACACCTACTTCCATGTGCCCATACACTTGCGCAAAACTAGAGCTGCCACACCTCGGCCTGGCCCTCCCTGTCAGCCAGGGAGAGAGCCAGGGCTGCCTACCACCAGAGAGAGGGGAGGTTGGCGAGCGTACCCAGCAGAGAACACAGCCCCCTGGTATCTTTTGTGAAGTTCTTCCTGGTACGGAGGCTTTAAGTATTGTTCCTCCTTCAAGGCAGTAATACCCATTAATGCAGGGCAAACCAGATGCCTTTTTGTCTCCCCAGCAAATGCTCTACATATAAATCCTTCTCTAAAAGGGGTTGGAAGGTGAGAGGCATGCCATAACCTTTCTTCGTTGGGCTGCTCCATGCAGCCTGCTTCTGATCTGGGCAGAGGTGTCGCTTAGTTTAGAAGGGCCCCTGTAAATTATAAATTCACTGTCTTCCAGACCCCATCCTTGCAAACTGACCCAGATGTAGGTTCAGACAAAAAAATCAGATCTTTGGAGAAAAGGGAGCATTGCTCCTCCCGGGCAAATCCCCATTGGGAGTGCCCAATAAAAAGATGTCAGCCTGAGATGGGTACTACTGATATTCTGAGGTTGCACAGTACTGGACTTCAAGCATCATCTCAATTTTTTTAGAATTTGAGAGACTGATTTCTGTATTCCCTCAAGGGACATTAAATTTCTAAGAAAGGTACGAGACAAACAGTTCTAGGGATATTTTGAGTGAAATATACTCCCTAGTATATGGGAGAGTTCTGGAAAGGCAAGTCTAAGCTGTGCTTTTTCAACTCCACCAGGGAATCCAACGTAGGATTACAGTTACCATTATCCATGAGAGAGGCAGTGAATTGCACTGGAAAGATGTGCGAGAGTTGGTTGTTGGTGAGTATCTCATGGTTGTTCCTTCCATCATCATGAATTATTGAATAGAAGTGGGGTAGTGTCACCTAATAAAAGGGATTCAGAGAAAAAACTCTTGGTTTGAGGCTGCCTGTTAGAGTTCTAGATCTTAAACATCCAGTATAAGAAAAATGCCATTTGGTAATGAGAATTCTTTCTGAGAGTCTTTCAGGTTAGGCTTAATTGGTACTGCATTTCATTTATCTGCAGGTCGTATCCGAAATAAAGCAGAGGTAGATGAAGCTGCTGTGGATGCCATTCTGTCTTTGAATATAATCTCTGCAAAGTATCTGAAATCTTCTCATAGCTCCAACAGGTAGGCAGATGTAAAGTGCGTTTAGGGCTATTTGTAGTCAGTGTGTCTGGGGAGGCTAGAAATGTTCATACTTTATGGAATTCTAAACTTACAGATACAATTAATGACTGAACTGTGAATGTTTAACATTTCCCATCTTGTTAGACCTTCAGATAGTCTAGTGCCCAACATGAATGACCTTTTGATGCTCCAGTTACATTGCTCCTCTCCATTAATATGAACTATGAAGGGAGGAAGAAATAATCATGAGCAGGGCTTGACGATCGTGGTGAAAACCACTTGTCAGGCCCACACCACACATGTGCGAGACCCGCACTGCGCATGCGCAGACCGCCGGTGAACAGAGCGACCGGCTGAAATCTTCTCGCCATGGGCGAGTAGATAAGCGTATTTGTCGAGCCCTGATAATGAGGAAGCGTAAAGGAGCATCAGCATTACACCTGGGAACTGAAAAACTGAAATTAAAACACAGCATCAAAATAAAAGGACAACCCCATGGGTGAAACAGGCAGGCATGCACACCTCTACGTTACATTTGGAACAAGCATACAGTGATTTAACAAAGACTATTGAGTTAAAACATTACTCCTGCTCTCAAACTCAGCTTTAGTCTGTGCTTTTCAGGGTGAGGGAAGCCAGTGTATGCATATGTTACAAATTGGTTCCTTTAATGTACTTGTATATTGTGAAGTCAGAGCAGCCTTTTAAGCAATGTTCCATTGGCACTTTGGTGACCTTCAATATTGATTATGTCTACTGGGGATCTAACTGTCCCCAACAGTTGCTTTGAGTGTTACTTCTCGGGGAAAGAGGTATCCTCACCAAGTGAATACTCTTCATTGTGGAATGGGGCAGTTTTCCAAGGAGGCTTTGTGAGCAGAAGTTGTCTGGGGGTGCAATTAATGAGATTTCATGAAGTTGTATAGTCCTGTGCAGCAGTGTGTGCAGTGAAGGGCTGTGAAGCAGAATTCTGCATCATTGGCTGAGCCCCTCCCCTCCAGGACATCTACAAAGTCACTAAATCTTCCTCTGGTTTCTATCAACTGAAAAATCAGGAGGAAAACACAGATCTGTCTGAAAAATAAGATTCTGCATCAGATTATAGGGCATGGGGTACATGATATGCAACTTGCCTGTCTTCAGTTTTCAGTAGTCTAGCTGGACAAAGTAATTCCAGAATGACTCCTGACTTTGTCTCATCACCAATAGCGTCTGGTACCATCCCTTAGTGTCAGTAAATGAGTACTGAATGTTTATAACTATGGTATTTTTGTTATTACCTCCTAATGTCTCATGTCTTGCAAGATGAAAATAAAACTCTTAAATTTAGCTTTTTCTGGGGGAGAAAGGGAGAGTAAACACCTTCTATAAGGGAGAAGGGAAGTGGGGAGAAAAAATTATGACTTGCATGGAGATTTTGTCCCTTGTCTTGTGGAAAATCAGAAGGGTATTCTGGAACAGAAAACTTTCTCTCTGTTG